ATATAATATGGGAAAAGAAAACCTTCCTACTGTCTCACCCCCAACACTAGGAAAATATAATAGGAAAAGAAACCCTTCCTTAGTTTACTGTTTATGCTGCCTGATATACCCAGGCTGTAATAAACTAATGCATATTCTTATTGATAAGTATATCTCAGATAAAATGCACAATCAAAAATTATCTCAATATTGATGCCCATCAAAAAGATAAAGAAAAAAAATCATTCATCTACAATTAAAAAAAAAAAAAAAAAATCAAGCGCTGGGGCCAGTAAAAGAAAAACAAAAACAATAACGTAACTGGCAACTCAACCGGCAGTGAGTACGTCACGTCACGCGTCAGCTGATTCATTCACCTTCGTGTCACCTTAATATCTGCATTGTCGGCGTGGCGTAGGCCTATTTCCAAGGTGGTAATTGGTGTTAAGATACTGTTATGGTTGTCATTGTTTGTCGGGTATTGTGGTGTTTGGTAAGGTTTGTGCAATATGGTTTTATGGAGGTGCAGCTTGCAACTAAAATTGGAAGACTGGAATGTACACACGAAGAAAGTTACCTCCAGGAATTTCCCAATTTGAGAAACTAACTGCCACGTCTTCAGGAGACTATATGACGATATTACAGCACATAAATACAGATGTTATATCACGAAAACTAAAATTGTCAGTAATATTGTTAATATAACATGTTTGTGTACTCCCATACAAATTTCAAACATATATTTGTTGCTATATGACCTACTTTCTGGGAAGCAAAATGTCATTTATTGTAGCTAGATGGGAGGATCTTTAAATCTTTAAGTTCATTATTTCTTGTATGGAAGAATAGAACACTTCATTAATCTTTTTATGTATATGTATAACCCCTGCATTGTGGAAGGAATGACTGAAATGTTGACTGTAGTATGAATTCTGTGATTATTATGATAGATATTTAGAAATGGACCATGAAAAGATTAGGACATTATGTGCACAACATAAGACACTAATGGTTTTGAGAATAACATGCAATAGAAATAAAACAAAAATTCTGGGAGTCTGGTTGCGTGACTTAATCCAGTGATTCTTGGGTCTCCACCTTTTATGGTATGGCAGGAGCAAACAAACCCCTACCATGTATATGCTGGCAGGACAGAACTTATACGTCACTCTAATGATTTATTATTCTCAAAGGAACCAATCCATAAGTAGAGATTTGTGTTGAACTTTGCTGGAGCCTGAAGCACGGAGATCTTATTGTTGCTTCATTTGGACCTATTCTGATATTATACAAGATTTTACTCTTTTGATAAAGATATATGGTTGCATTTATTTTTTTTACCCAAAAAAAGATAATTATAAGATTCTGAGATTAAGTCTATTAAATCAGACACCATTTTGAAGATTTGTTATACTACATATTTACCTTACAATTATTTTTGATAACTAGAATAATTTTTTTTTTCTTCCAGACAGTAAGCATGGAACTTCAGTGTGCTGTCCAGAAATATGCATGGGGTGTTAGAGGGGCCTCAAGTAGTGTGGCACAGCTTGCCAAAGCTGCTAAACCTGAGCTAGAAGTAACTGAGGATCAGCCATTTGCAGAGCTTTGGATGGGAACGCACCCCAGTGGTCCAGCTGTTATAAAAGGTGAGCAAATTCTTTTTTTTTTTCTTCCTTTTTAAAGCAGTATATGATTATTGAATTTTAACATTTCAAATGTTTCTTAGTTCAAGTTTATTTATATTTTCTAATGTATGTCATTTTTCATTTTCTCTTTTTAAATTGTCTTTGACAGCATATTGTACTGATTTTTTATGTTATATATATACACCCAGAATGAAAATGCAATCATGTTTCCTTTCATTGAAAGGTAATTATTTGTATGTGTGCTCACACATATAGGTCTATGTATCAAGCATACTGATGCAATTGTATATTTGTAATTTGAACACATTTGTTTTCACAAAGTAATGTGTGTTTGGAGGAAAGGGAAAAGAGCACTTAAGCATTTGCCTGAGTATTTTTATTAGCATAGGAATATTATATGTAGTATAATTGTACATTTTAAACACAGGCACTGGTGAGACTTTGGGGGACTACATAAGCAAGCATCCTGATGTCTTAGGATCACCTGTCATCCAGAAGTTTGGCAAATCTCTTCCTTATCTGTTCAAGGTGCTAAGTGTAAACCAAGCTCTGTCCATCCAAGCTCACCCAAACAAGGTAATTTTTTATTAATTGTAGGATGTAAAGGCATTGAAGCTTTACATTATTTATAGGATGTGTAATCTTCAGTATGTCACAATAAAAATGAAGGAATAGGATTATAAGGGGAAATAATAAAACAATGGGACATTCCCAAAACTTTCTATATAAGACAACATTCCAAACAGTTTGAAATTATTCTCATCACATTATGACTAATCGTAGGAGCACTCAAAGAATAACAGAAGGACTAGCTCCAGTATCTGAAACCTCCTAATAAAAAATGCCTCTGCAGCTATTCATAGATTATTCAATTCTGCCTTTATCTTCATGTATTCTTAAGATAATCATGCTTTGCAGAGTCACGCTGAGCAACTGCACAAGGATCGCCCTGATGTTTACAAGGATCCAAACCATAAGCCAGAAATGACCATTGCACTCACACCATTCCAAGCTCTGTGTGGCTTTAGACCTGCAGAACAGATTACAAAGCATTTAAAAGGTGATTATCCAGAAGTGATAACCATAAACGGATGAATAATTAAGCACACGGTATTGTGTGGGTTTTATTGTTACAGTTGATTTTTTAGGGTTGATTGTAAGGTAGGAATGAAGAGTGCATATCTTTATGTATTAAATTTAGAAAATCAGTGTTTTCATCTTGTGTTTTGATTATTACAGAGATTCACGAGCTCAAGAAGGTTATTGGAGATGCTGCAGCTGATGCTTTTATTGAAAATCCAACAGAGGAAAATTTGAAAGCTTGTTTCTCAGCAATGATGAATGCATCGAAAGACACCATTGCCTCTGCTCTTAGTGAATTACTTCAGAGATTCCCAGGAATGGGTAAGTACCATTGGCTACTTTTATGAATAGTTAAAAGATTTTTTTTGTGTTGCAAAGCTTGTAGATTATTGTGGTGAGAGTGGCAATAAGTAGTTTTAAATGGCAGCTACTATTTATGCACTTGGAATTAAATATATGTGATATTATTGAATTAAGTTAGAAATGAGAAATTAGTATCCTGCCAACTTTGTTATTTAAATAGGTGAATAACTTGTTCCATCAATATCTTATAACCCTTTTAAATATATATTATCTCAGTATACAATGAAATTCAGAGTATCTTCTCATTTTTTATTTAACAGATTCAGGAAAAGGCAAAGAACTCCTACGGGAATTGTTCCTCACCCTTCACGAAAAATATCCCGGTGATGTTGGCTGTTTCTCCATATACCTTCTGAATTACCTGACCCTACAGCCCGGAGAGTCGATGTTCCTCGGGCCTAATATCATTCATGCTTACTTGCTGGGAGGTGAGACTTTCCTTCTTAAATAGGTTTAGCCTGATTTTATGTCAATGATGAAAAAAATAATGTGGAATATTTAGTGACTATGTGTCAGTATTATTTGTGTGTTATTAAAAGTAACTTTGATTGTATAGATGCATAATTCTTTTCATAGCATTATCATTGTTAGATGACATTTCTCTGATTTAAGATTGCATTGAGTGTATGGCGTGTTCAGACAATGTTGTTCGAGCTGGACTGACCCCCAAATACCAAGATGTAGAAACATTAGTGTCGATGCTGGAATATGGAATGGTTCCTGCTGAGTCCAGGAAATTCCAAGGGTCCAAGGTTGACCAATTCACAACTTTCTACAATCCTCCAGTTCCAGATTTTGCAGTTGATATGATTGAGGTAAACATTCATTTGGCTTCATTGCTCTGTGTATGTGTGTGGGGGGGCCTCTTTTGCACTCCGAAAGATAAATTGTATATTTTAGTTGAGTGTATTAATGTAAACATACATAATAATTGTTGCTTTGATTTAACATTCCAGTGTTATAACCAATTATACCAAATATATGAGTAGCTTAGATATGGCTGCATAATGGTTGTCTATTTGAATGAAAGCCTAATTCTCTCTTAGTCCTGTATTCAGGTCTCCTTTAAAAACTTGCTTTATAAACTCCTTTTTCATAACCATTATAATTTCTAATCACAGGTTCCAGCTGGTACCAAGGAATTCACCTTGAGACAAGTGGAAAGTGCCAGTATTGTCTTGGTAGTTGAAGGGGAAGCAGACAGTGTTGAGGTATCGCCCCAACCTATGGGAGATGCGCCAGTAGCAACATCAGTGCAGCGAGGATCTGTATTATTCTTGGCGTCTGGGCAGTCATTGTCATTGAAATTCAAAGCAGGATCGCGCTTCTTAGCCTTCCGTGCTGTTTGTGTCTTATAGGAGTACTGGTAAACAATCATGCTTATAGTATTATTCAAAACTGATAAGATATTAATAAATTTGTATGACATTGATGTTCATGCACACCCAAGTGATTAAGTAATTTAAAGTTGTAGATAACTTAGTATGTCCTCAGCTTATGGTGCATGTTGGTCATATGTTTGGAATTATGCAATGGTATGGTATATTTTTTTGTGCATAGGGGATACTGTAATAGTAATGAAGTTATAGGAATAGGTGAAGAAAGAGCCCTTATATGAATTGTTTAAAAAATAGTATCATCTATGAATATAGTATTACTAAAAAATGAATTATTATGACCTTCATATGTAAATTTGCAAATATATTGAGGTTAAACCTTTTTTCCACAATTGAGAAAATAATATTTCTTGTTCTCAGTGAGACACAAAATTAACTTTAGACATATATTCTAATATTGCATTTTTTCATACTCATTACATTATTTATTTGTTATATAAAAAATTAAAACCAAAGACCTTGAATCTTGTCTTAAATTAATCAATTTTTCATCCAGATTCCTTTATATTGGATTAATAAATGAATGAAAACATGATTTGTTTGAATTTGCTTAATGTTCCTGTGAACCATGTGTATAAAAAATAAACAAACAATCAAGGAATTACTAGATTTATTTAATAACAAGGATGTAAAAACAAATGCTGTCGGCATCTCTTGGAAGCATACAACAAGAACATCCAACAAACAAAAACACTGCCATAAATAACAAAATAAATAAATATTTTGCAAAGCCATTTTGACACTTTGTAAACCTAGGATTCTGAAGTTAAAACATTCAATTTACATAGATTTATATAACGATTTTGCCATTGTTATTATGCAAACATTCATTCTTTGGTTTATGAAATACTGATATTCTGATATATTGTTGACATTTTCCGAAAACACACTTATTTGATAAATTCAGGGGAAATAATTAGGTAATATACAGTCCTTCTTTCTCATATAACCCAAAATATATATTCAATAAAATATACGAATAAATATAAAATATAAAGCAGGACCTCAACGTAAGCTGCCACTGACCCACTAGTGATAGCTGATGTGATATCATGTTACGGAAAATATTCACAGACAGTGGGGTGGGTGGGGGATCTTGTACTGTCGAAAGTCTATGTTCCGATCACTAGGGTAATATCCTATGCACACTACCACGTGCTAGATACGCTCCCAGACATGATTCTGTGCATATACATAAACACTCACCTTTCCCCCCATTATTGAGTTGGGTAGAAATATTCCATATTTTCTGATGAAAAAGGAGAACCTTCCACATCTTGATTTTGTAGATAAATGGAAATAATATACAGTAAAATGGAAAGACATACAGGAGAAACAAATACAGCAGCACCAACATTTGAACCAAAGAAGCTGCATTTTGGGAAGACATAAATATATGAAATTGCTACATGTATTAAAAATAACAAATAAATTAAAGCACTTAATGCATAATGAAGAAAATAGTATGTTATACATGAATTAACTATAAATTAACCACAAAGCCAGCTTGGGCAAGAAAAGTTATGTGTATATATATATACATGTATACACATATGTGTATATATATATATATATATATATATATATATATATATATATATATATATATATATATATATATATATATAATATATATATATATATATATATATATATCAGTATAGCCAGGATTTTAAGCAGGGAGAATGACCAGTGATGGAAAATGTTTCAGGCTCCCAGAGCTTTCCAAGAAAGACGGTCTCCTGCCCACACGTGCCTGAGCTGTTTACCTTACAGTTGTCATTAGTGAACTGCTCAACACGGAATACATTCAGTAAACAACTCGCATATTCTTAAGGGGGCAGTATGTTCTCCCTGTGTGCCGGCTCTCCTCTGGCTATGCTATTGACTGTAAATATATTCTATGTACATGATATAGAATGATTTTGCATACACCATTGTTCTCTTGGTTTGACATAATCACTGTTAATAACTTAGAGCATAATTTGTGATTTATCTAAACAACAAATTGTAAGGATTGTAAACAGGCACAATTACACGATCAGGGCTCTCTAACATGTGTCCGGCACTCAGTCAACTTTGTACATTTGGATATCATATTAATTTAATATATATCATAATAGAATCATCCTTGCAAGTAGAGACATTCAGATCTTAAGGGGAAATGTTTATGTAGAAAGTGGAATTACGATCATGGCCCTATCCTCATGTTTTTAAACTGTGGACATTTTTAGATGATTTCTCTCTGTATAAACCATACATGTATTGTGCATCCATAAGTTTGGACAGCCCTGATTTAGTATCTTTGTAACATTAGAAAAGAAAAAACTTTGTATAAATGACTAGAATCTCATGACTCGTTGAAAAAATACAGTAGTACAATAATCATTAACATATTTAACCCTGACAGAATTAGTTTTGTGCATTTGAGATACATTTTTTTTTTTAGATATCAAAATAAATAACTCCAATAAATAAAATGATATGTTTGATATGCTTTAGAAACATCTTCTTTCTATAACATGGATATATAAATTAGATGTACAAAACTAAACCTACAGCACAACTAATATTCCTAAATTCACACTTTTTATGCTTATACTAGATTCTGAGGACAAGAATTTAACAGTTTTATATTTCAATTCTGCGTGATATGATTCCATCTCACTAATATGAGGCTTATGATAAATGACTAGTATTTGGTTATACATAATAATTTCAAGAATTTGATTTGATATGGTTCATAAGCCCAGTTACCAGATTGGAAGGGAAGGGAGAGGGAGAGGGAGAATGAGAAGGAGAGGAAGGAGGGAGAGAGAGCGGTAAGATAGGATGGAGGGAGATAAAGGGAGAGGGTGAGACGAAAAAGGGAATAGAAAGAAAGAGTTATGCAGATGACAGAGTGACAGATATCTCTCATGTAATATACCTACATATGCATTCCAGTGCAAGGATTAGTAAAACTAGCACAGTTAATGGCTTTGCGGCGCATGTTGTTATCAGCTGGCACAGGGACACGGAAAAGCTGACCATTGGACTTACACATACACAGCTTGTATTGGCCACGGTCATTCTCGTTCACGACATCTCCTGCCAGAGGTAGAGTGTTAACGTCAACCATGTATCCAGCTCCAGCATTCAGAAAAATGGACCCATTAATGCTCTTCAGGTAAATATCTTGATCCGCGGACCATGTGAGTTTTTTGGCATCAAAGGACAATCCCTCGTTGCCCTTCAGACGAATCTAGTGGGGGGGGGGGAGAGAAGGTAGTTATGTGTTGAAAGGAGTTATTGAAGTTAGTTATCATTTCTGTTATAATCATTAATGATATTATGTAATTTAATTGCAAATGTCTAATGGGTGTTCTCAGAACATTATCACAACTGAATATGGCAAAGAAGTATACAACTTAATTTCTCAAAATAATAAAATAAAACATAAAAACCAAAATATAAAAAAAAATACTGTCAAAATAGAAAAGATATAAATAGACAAATCAACAAATAAATCAGTAAACTAAACCTACAGTGGAGCCTGAACGAATCTTCAGGTCAGATGAGGTAGGACTTCTGACACGCGCAGCTGTGCTTCTCACCACATTGAGATTTCTGACACCTTGTGGAAGGGCAAAGTTGGGGTAATCGGTAGAGAAGACTGTGTTGCCGGAATCTGGATCAATTACCTGAAATAAGAGAAAGAAGAAAAAAAATTACTTGATTACATGTATTTAAAAAGAGAGAGAGAGAGAGAGAGAGAGAGAGAGAGAGAGAGAGAGAGAGAGAGAGAGAGAGAGAGAGAGAGAGAGAGAGAGAGAGAGAGAGAGAGAGAGAGAGAGAGAGAGAGAGAGAGAGAGAGAGAGAGAGAGAGAGAGAGAGAGAGAGAGAGAGAGAGAGAGAGAGAGAGAGAAAAATTATGGTCATCTCTACAATATTTTGTCTGCTACAAACAAGTACATACACCTTTCCTTTTCAGATTTTAAAGCTCTTTGCTCAAACTTCCTTACTTTAAAAATCACCTTCAAAATAAATGCTGACAGGAGGAATCTTACCTGAAAGCTTTCAACACTTTTAATCTCAGTTTCGTCAGGTCCAACGTCTAAAGATGGAGGTGATGATGAGGTCCTCAGACTTAGTGACCTAAAAAAAAAAAATTAAAAATTAAAAACCACTGAGAATATATCAAACAAGACAATATAGTACTATTCTTCACCTTTTTTATGGCAGTTTGCACTGAATATTTTCTAGAATATATTAGACTAGCTACTTTTAATACTTTCACATAAGACAAGAACACCTTCTAATATTTCAGATGGATTATACATATATACACATTACTGACCTTGCTATTATCCCCCTGGATTGAGAAGGGAACATCAGCATAGCCATATATAATGCCGTCCTTCTTATATACGTTGCCCAGATCTGCACGACCATAGAACTTTGTTGCTCTTTAAAGAGATATAATGTGTCAGTGAAAAACATTTCTACCTTTGCTCAATTTTTTTCTTAAGAAAGGGGACTTTAATAAAGAGATTAATACATTCATGAACTTTTATACAAGGCACTCATTGAAAGCAGAAAAAACAGTGAACAGAAGACAAAATGTTTTTAAAATCCTACTCAATCTCAAATGCCAAATATAAAGATACTGATACTAGAACTATCCTCTTTTCAGGATAATGGAAAAAATCAAAATTCTGTAATACAATGAATGCAAAATATCATCCCATATAAAAACACTTCACTCACCTCGTATCAGGTAAGAATTCAATGCTCTCCATGCCATAGCCAAGCCGAAGAACCCCCATCGCAAAAAAGGTGAGGAGAAGGTTCCCTGACGCTAAGATGAGGAGAACTACCACAAGGCCCCAGAAGAATCCGCTCTCACCACGGTTTGCCTCACTCCGCTTTGGGGTTGCTTCTCTGTCGGTGCTTGGAAAGGAAAAAATATATAATGGATAGACAGATTAAAAATGTAAAAAAGTGTATAATATGTATAATTAACTGTAACTAGAAGCTGTATGCAAATAACTACTCACAAAGAGGAAAAAGTAAACAATTCAGAGTATACTGAATTGAAATAATCATTAATAGCAATAACACTAGCTACATGTTTTACTATTCATTCTAAAAACAATTAATACCTTACGTTACCATTCTCCTACATTAACAATCTACAACCCTTTTCATAATCAACTATCACAATTAGTTACAATGCAGGGCTGTACCTTGTGGTGTGGTTAGTGGAACGTGACTGGCGAGTGAGGGTGGCACGTTCTAGTGTACTTGGTGCGAGAGACGTACTCTCGGCTAAGAGCGAGGCTGCAGCTGAGTCACCCATCCTGTGCCTGTGGAATTAAAATATCTTTTTCTTACAATCTTTTCTTTTATACGGAAAATTGGTAAAACACACATTACAAAGAAATTTTTAAAGCATCATATGCTTACATTTGTACGATATCCCCTATTCCATAAAAATTTTAGAAGTCACATATTCTATGTTTGTAGGAGATAATAAAATCTTTGCTTTTTAATATTTCCTTTTAATTTGATGACATCTTTAGTAAAAAGAAACAGAAAAAGAATAAGAAAAAGTAGAACAAGAAAATGAAAAAGGAAAGGTAGAAGGCGAAAATGAAGAAGAAAAGAAAGGAGAAAAGGAAGACAAAGTAATGGCTGAAGAAGATAAAAATGAAGAAAAGTATGCAAGGCAACACTCGTATTTCCATGTCATTCATCCTGCAGTGTAAAAAAAAATTGTTTGTTAGTGCTCTTGGTAAACGTTCGCAGTAGGAAGGAATCAAGCGATATCATGACTTCCAAAATATGTTTTAACGTAAGCTAACAAAATTCTATCAAGTACATCCAAACATCTTTAGGTCTAGAATACATAAAGTGAGTGACAGATATTGAAATACCTATTCTGAATCTAAATGTCTATTGGTATTATAATAATAATGTGTTATTATTTTCAAACCTCTTATTCCTTTCTATCCTACTCTGGCTGCACCTTGATATAGTTGTTAATTTTAAAATTATTTCACTTTAAAATTTGGTGAAATTCATCAAAAATAAATAGAAATGACTGTGACTCAAACTCACACAGGTTGAAAAAGGCCTAAATATTGGATTATATCATTATCAATTCGTGAGATGATAAATGGGGCGCTTGGAAATATTCCCTGTATTAATTATTTCATCCACTTTCACTTAAAAGTATGTTAATAAATACATTTCATTTACTTAAAATTCTGCGATGTTCACCAACAGTTTGCAAGTCGAAGCCCAAGTTACGTGTTCGATTTCACTTCTCTGCGTGAAAACGATAAAATATTAACCAAAAAGTGTAATCAATTAATGATAAAAAGACGATAAAAATATGATATCATCAGAAAAAATATATCGAGATATACACATACCGAGAATGTGATTTTGCACCAATTAAACTAACATACAGATTTAACCTTTAGAGGATTGAGACAAGAGGTAAAAAGTCGTCTGCTAGATCCATCTGTTCTGTTATTGGCCAAGACTAGATACATCTTCCCTGTGATTGGCTAAGAGACAGAATAGCCAGCCAATCACAGGATGCTTAAGAGCCTTCTAAACTTACATATCTTTTTGGCATATAATAATCAAATAGTATCTTCAAATTACATATATAAGTAAATTTTTCTCATATGTATTATAAACAATAAACAGAAATATCAAAACACAAGAATATTCTTACTTTGTAGCTAGACATATATTTCCAAAAATATTCGCATCTTCACCGTGTTGATGTTTTCTCCTGATTCCTAAAGTTCAGAGTTAAAATAAGCCCGACTTTAATTTGCTTATTTCTGGCGTAGCGAATTCTTCGAGCGCCATTATGTGATGAACAGAGTCAATGTGGGCGGCTCTCCTACTATAGGTAAGTGTTATTTATGCCATAGGAATGGATAAAGATGTCGAAATTAAGGGGTAGTTATTGAAACGTAAGTGACTTCTGAACTTCTTGCGTCGAATTCCAAATTAATTTCAGAGTAATTGAATATTTCCAAAGAAATATTTTATAATTAGCATTGTGCCGTATTAAAGAGTACATTAATTTACACAAGATTGATAAAAGTACTTATACTTTTCCCTATATAGAAGTTGATTTGCGTCATGTCAGAACAAGTGAATTTAGTTATTTTTTTGTTTATAATTCTTAGAAAGCGGAGTAAATGATGAATAAAAGGTAAATCAAATGGAGAAGAGATAATTGATTAATATACAGATAAGTTAGATAAGCAAATAAATGGTACAATCTCAGTACAAGGTGAATTATGAGGAATTAATACACTGTTGAATTCTTTGGCTATTTTACACATTGACTGTTGTAATGCATAGGAACCAGTTATTTGTATCTAAGAAATAGTAAAAATACTTAGAAACGTATCTTACCTTCAATTGCCTTAATCATTGAGCTTTGATCTCCCTGGGAAATTTATCAAGTAGGAGACCCGTCTAAGCTTAGTCTGGCGTAACTATAGACCGTTTGCTATGGTTCGTTTTGCTAAAGCAGTGAAGGTCAATGGGTCATGGGAATCACAATTGACAGCAACAGTGACGGGGATAATTGATACATTATACCATGTATGGAGACCTTTTAACTGTATGTGTTGGCTTGGCATAGTATATATACTGCCATCACATGTATTTATTTCAGATATCTACTAATTTTCTTCAATGAACTCTTATATAATATTCCAAATAATCAAAGCAAAGACTTTTAGTAATAACTTTCAAATGTAACATAGTCAATTTCTGTTATTAATATATACCAACCTTAACCCATCAGCGACGGGTAAAAATTTTGTCAAGTTTACGTATGCACCGGCGAGCGACATATAGCACCTAAAAGCTTTTATTTTGCTATAATTTATAAAAATATTAAAATTTTGAAGGTTTACCTTCACTTTAGGTGCCATTGCCTAAAATCTTTACCATATAAATGAAGCCGCTGCTAGTGGAGAAAAACAACCTCCTTCCGACGAACCAGTAGCACGGGAATGGGCATGGCATGATGCCCCTGGCGTTTGGTCCACAACAGCCATGGCATGTACGTATGTGACACCCGGCGCCAATGGGTTAATATTACTTTGTGTATTCAAGTTGTTGTATCATTTTATATTCCCTCAAATATTTTGGCAAATTTTTAGGGTGTGACAATCAGGATTTCGGGTTAAACAGTGTATGGAATGGTAACCTTGATGAAAACAATGGTATTTCTTGGGCAAATCAAAAAGAATGGAGACATGTGATGAGATAGAGCAACACAAAGAAATGTGTTTTTTATGTGTGCTAATAAAAAGTTTTTTTTGATAATGTGAACTGTATTAATACTTTTCTCATTTTCATATCTTTAGATTTTTTTCACTATCTTGTTTTTATATTTTTCTCATTTTAAGATTCATTCTCTCTCTATGTATAATATGTGAAGGTACGGAAGGATTTTTTTTTTATTGTCCAGGGACAAATCTAGAAATGTATGATTTATGGTGAAAAAAAATCCTTTTTTGTAACTGAGAATGCCGAATCATTTTATTATTATGACAATGCACTTTTTTGAGGAATCTTTGATCTCATAATATTTAAAGTCTGTATTAGGTATGTAATCAGACATTCTAAGCATGGAATAATTCTAAAGTTAACACATTAGTTGTAGGTACAAGTCAGTCAGTAAGTGTTAGGATATAGGCTACATTTATATCCAGAAGACAAGCGTTTAAAAATATTTTTGAATGCGGATTGATTACGTAAAATTACTTGTATAACTTGCCTCACAGAGAAGAAAAAAAAAGAAGAAAGAAAAGAAAAGAGAAAAAAAGTGCTTGAAAGGAAGTGCAAGTGGCTCATAATGTTTCTTCACATCTTTGTGCTTTTCCACAGGATGTAGTTTGTTTAGTGCCGTTTCTACTTTCTCATGGTCATTTGACATTTGAACTGTCATTTTGCTATTGATTATCTTGAAGAATTTACAACCAAGTCATGAAACAGAGATTTGCTTTGTCACAGATTTAACTGTGTATGAGTAAACATAGAGGGATTTTGGAAGAAAGTGGATTTTCAATGGCAAGGCAAGCATTTATTACATATATATACTACATCACAGGGGGGAGGGATGGATATATACACACACACATATATATATACATATATACATAACACATATATAGAGACACACAGCACGTATTATATATATATATATATATATATATATATATATATATATATATATATATATATATATATATATATATATATATATATATATATATTATATATATATATATATATATATATATATATATATATATATATATATATATATATATATATATATATATATATATATATATATATATATATATATATATATATATATATATATATATATATATATATATATATATATATATATATATATATATATATATATATATATATATATATATATATATATATATATATATATATATATATATTACTAAGTATGTATGATAAATCCTGTCTTATCTGGCATTGGTAATTCAGGTTCTTAATTGAAATATTTTGACTTGCTAGAGGATAAATACAACTTTTTGTTTATGATCTGCAAATCAAAGTTATTACCTTTATAGATGAACAAAGTGCTACAGGCCTCCACTACTTGGTTAGAATAAACAAGAGCAATTTAATGTAAGAGAAATACACTCAAGCACATTGAATTGATCAGTCTTGGATTGAGTCCAGATTGTATGTAATCTGTAGGCTAACTATAGGCAAGGGAGCTCATGCCAGCTGGTTTCCCTAAGTTCAGGTTTATCTATAAATGGTATGAAAAATTGCAGGGCCAGGTGGTGATAAAAGTGAATGTGCTTTTAATAGAAGTGACCTTTTTTGGCTTGTTGAAAATCATTGTTATTTTCATTATTCATCCTGTTGGACTTGACTTTTGATACTGTGTTTGTTTTCATTGTACGCTTAGGGTGATTAGTTTTGGGGAATGTTTATTTTTGCTTTCTTTTCTGTGTATTTTTCTAATTTTTTTCACAGATTTATTTTTGTTCTGATCTGAGAATAACTTCTTTACTCTTGTAACATGTGAAACTCACTGGGCTCTCTCTCCCCTTTTCTCTGCAGTATGGAAGGTCCGACTGAAACAATGATGAATCTTCGTGTAGGACAGACAGTTGTGCGAGTGGCGGGGGGAGATGAGGGGGTGGCAGTTGCTGGGGAGACGTCCCTGCGGGGACCCCCCTCTCCTACGGGGCTACCCTATGCCTCAGACAAGCATCCCAAGCTGGCATTGGCAAACATCAACATGTTGCAGAAGAGGAGGGAGCTGTGTGACGTTGTGTTGATTGTTGGGGCAAGGAAGATTTTTGCTCACAGGTTTGTGCATTTTTTGTTTTTGTTTTTTTCTTTTTTTTATTCTACCAGACCAGAATAGGATCTGTTGAATATGTTACTTATTTTGAATGAAGTGCAGAGTGGCTATGTGTTTTTGGTATCATGTCATTGTTTGAGTCATTGTTTATATAATTTTTATCTATTATATAGAACAATGATGTATATGATATGCATTATCTTTGTTTTCTTGTCAATGAATAAACTCATTTTTCTATATATCCTTCCAGAGTAATCTTATCAGCATGCAGTCCCTATTTCCATGCCATGTTCACCTCAGAACTTCTCGAAGCCAGACAAACAGAGGTGCCCATCCGGGACATAGATGAACATGCTGTAGACCTCCTAGTTAATTTTTGCTATACTTCTGAGATCACCATAGAAGAATCCAATGTGCAGACCCTTCTCCCAGCAGGTAAGATGGATGGGAATCTATTCATGAGACTCTAAATTATATTGATTGATAAGAATGACATCAAAGTGTCATCAAATCTGCATGATGTGAATATCACTGAGCCAGTGATTTAGTCTCTTTCTTGGTTCATTGGATTCATGCTTGCTTCCCAATTCAGAATTTTTCGTTTTTGCCGTGAACTGGACCGTAGTTGATCTTAGAAAAAAAAGATGGATTGTACTGGTATGTCAGATAATTTGCATTGAGTATAACAGGGTAGGGAGAATCAGGACAGATTCCGGAACAAGTTTTGAGGAAGAAATAATTCCACAATTACTGTACAATTAACCTGATGATGCGGGGAAAATGTTGCATTCACTTTAGTATTGTTTTTAAAAATATTTATGCACATAGATGGCTCTGCCTGTGCTTAGCCACAAAGGTGTCAATTAGTAGATCTTTTTACTTCACCTTTCCTTGAAATAGTGAGAAAAGCTTTTTTTTTAAC